ATCGACGGAACGGAGATTTCATGGGCGGCGCGCAGTCGCCTCCTGCGACAGCAGCAGAGGGCAATGATATATTCGATATGCTGAACCTACCCAGTGACTACCAGACCACAGCAGCGCTCGAGGCAGCCAAGAAAGACGTTGAGCCCAGATATCATCAAGGGCTTGAGACCATGTCACAATACCGAGTTCCCGGCTCCATCAACCCCGCCGTTACGCCGGATATGGGTAAGATAGCTCTTGTCGTCCGGGCAGGTCAAGCCGTGGTGAGGGGAGATCTTCTCGAGTTTCTCGACAAATACCTTGTGGGCTGGTTAAAAGAAGGTCTTTGGCAACCATTGTTAACTCACCCCGTCGTGAGTGCACTCTCCATGCAGTGCGCGGACCTGGTCGAGGCGGAATTGTACGATGATCGAATGGCCAACATCCTCATGCGGCGTTTGGCATGGGTGCGCCTGTACTACTGGCACGATGAGCAGATGAAAGCCAGTCCTCGGAAGCTAGAACCAGGTGTCGGCCTTGAGACCCAAGCTGCAAACCTATGCCTCCAAAAGGCCTACGTGAATTGGGAGCAATGGAGTCAGGAGGACAAACAGACCGCACGCGACAAGTTCCACGCCAGGAAGCGCGTCGGACGACGGTGGTGCGAGCTCATGCAGTATCTTGGCCCGGGTATCTTAATCACGTGTGGTGCAGATATGGACGCTCATATGTAAGTCCCGAGCCTGCGACCACACCAGTGGGTATTGACCAACGGCGTCAAAATAGTCACAATTTCCCTCACTGGGGCACACATGCCGTTGCTCTATTCGTGCAGAGATGCCTTCCGAATACGTATCAGGTTCCCCGCCACTTTGAGACGGTGGCCAAAATATTCATCCAAAGAGGGAACATGGATGACACAACTTTCCAAGACTGGCGCAGTAAGCTGGACGAAAACCTGGTGAGGAAAGCAATAAAGGAAGTCAAAGGGGAAATTCAGTCGTCGGACTGGTTGTATAACCCTACATTGCACCCAGACGAATATCTCAACTCCACCATGTTTATCAGGGAAGCCTTGGCATCCAAATAGATTGGATAAGGAGCAGACAGCCGCGCTTTCAACCCGGAGAATGAGCCAAACCAGATGTCTGTGTAGATGTTGCTATAGGATCCCAATGATCTTGCTCCTTGCGAGTATCCCATAGAGCACCCCCATTGCCACAATGTCGCTTCAAAGCGTAGTGTCTGAGAGAGCATCCTCGTGTCATTCTGGGCAGTAGGCTGGGCTTCCCACACAGGAGAGCAGGCTCGGCGTCTAAAAACAGGAAGTGCAGGCATGCGTGGAAGGTAATGGAATTTGTTACAGCACTTTCCGACCACCAGCATACACTCCTGACGGAGTGTGGTGAAGAAAGGTAGCAGACATGTTCAATGACTCTGCATTCTATCAAGTACATTCGATTAGGGATGTAGTAATACAGAAATGCTAATGACTCTGAAGCCGTCAGTAAGTATTCTCATCTGTACTTCCAGGTCAGGTCAGCATTGTGTACAGTTCGGCCAAGGAACTATGACGATGCAGCTTCCAGTCAACTTCTGGATCACATACAAAGTACAGCAGAGATTTCTTCCACAAAGACGCAGCTCTATAATGGAAGGTCTGGGGAGGAACATTGATGACTAACTGTAGATGTGTTGCTTATATAGTTAACTAGTTGCTACGACACTAAATACTTATACAAGCTTATGTACACCTTCAATCTTCATAATCCCTTGTAGTCAACATCATACCTACACAGAGGCAGCGATCATAATCAATTCAGGCCAGGCCAAGGCGAGGCGGAGATGCCTGATCAAGCAACTGACATGCATAACCAGAGTCACTATTCACTATTTTACACAGATCATCGAGCAAGCCGTACGTCTGCTGGACATGGACCGAGGAAGAAGACATCCCAGTCCAGTGGAGGTATTCCTCTCGCAGCAGTCTTCGAACCTTGCATTTCTGTACCTTCCGGAAAGTATGCCCTTCCTTTTGGGAGAGGAGGTACAGTATTGGAAGGGGACTCTTGTCTGGGCCTACTGCTCTCCCGCCAAGCGGCCAGCTGGATCATTGGCAGGGTCACCGTAGTATGTCGGGGTTCACTAGGTGACAAATCAGCGTGGTAGGCCTCACCACCACGACTACGTGCGAGTGTCCCGTGCATCGGCCATGGTAAACAGACCTTTTTCTCTAGTTTCGTTGTCTACCGACGAGTAGTGGCGGGCTATGTCTGGAAATCGACGCCGCAACGACAAGAGCGGGTCCGTCGGTTCAGGATCCGTGCGGCCAATACAAGTGCATAGACCGTCATGAGAAGGTTCTCAGTAAGTTCCAGTGCTCTTGCTCCAGGAATGGCGCAACTACTAATGCAAGTGAACAACTACGGTGGATCTGGTTTATTCTGTGTTCGACCCCCGGCCTCTCCCCCTTCCTTTTGGTGTGGCATGCCGATATTTTAGCTTATAGTCCTTACTCTTGCATGTTAGCCCTTCTTTGATCGACAGACAAAGATAGAGAGGGCAGGAAAGAAGAACTTACTGTAAGGTCAGTTTCAAGAACGATAAATACCTGTTGGTCCCCTCCTCGCTTGTCCATGGTAGAGAATCCTGGGGCGGTCAGCGTGCAGAACGATTATACATTGTCGGTATTTTGATATTCCTCACTCCAAGATCCTCTGTGCGAGGATACTGCCTGAAAATGCAACTTCACACACTTCTTACATGCAGTATTGCTCTGTTTGTTGCAGCCCTAGCCACACCAGTGGCGGAGACCCCTGTAGAGAATCGCTTGGAATACAAAGACAGATGCGCAAGCGATGGAAGCCTGGGTTGGTGTATGCCAGGTTACTATTGCAAGGTACGTGAGCAGCACTCCCGCTAATCCCGAGACCATAATCACCCACACTGATACCTTCCTAGCAAGGACTGACCGACCGGTATGGGAAATGTTGTTATGAGGGTTCCGGTTGGGCGAGATGCTGATTGAC